GTTCTTGATATCCATCAAAAGTGGAGAACCGATTGAGATAAGAGATTCAGATATGGTTTGTAAAATAATTTACATATATGTAGATTTATGATAATCATGAAACAAATATCGTTGTTAGCATGGGCGCTGCCGCGCAGTTACGGACTTCGAAAAATTGAACCGCATAGGCGAAGGCACCTATGGCATAGTTTGTAAGTTTACCGATTGTTTTCTACTACCCCAACCACTTTCAGTTCCTACTCTGTAGAATGTGTTTGCTATAATATGGGGCGGAAAACCTTCTTAGGTGTATTAAAACTTTCTTTTATTAATGTATACTTTGGTGAAGTAATCAATCGTATTACGGTATCCGACGACTGCCATCCGCACGGATCTAATCCGATTCGCACTGTCATAACAAGTAATTGGAAAGGATTAGATGTGTGTGAATGGCATCCCTCGGATATATGCTAATTGTGGTCCGACAGATTACATTCACATTCATCTAATTGTTCACGCTCGCTTGTAATGACAGTGCGAATAGTATTCGAATATCGTAATAGGCATGATTATTTCATCATGATTGATATCCTTCATAATAGCCCAAAAATGGAGAAAATTCTTACAATCTCATCACAATGCCATAAAATAGTATAGGTTAACTCAATTAGCTCCAAAAAAGGGGAGATTACAATAACCGGGGCGACAAATTTTGACATTGCCATTGGAAAGCTGGGCTTCTCCGCTTTTCAAATATACCCCTTTTAGGGTTTGGGGCCTTCTAGTTTTCAAGATATTTAGTGTTGAAAGTTATTTTTTAGATTTTTTTAATTATTAATATCTTATGAAGTACATAACCGGTTAAAAAAGTAATGTGTCAAACAATTAATTTATCTTTCAGTTCATGTATCTAATTTATATTATTTTTCATATCTTAAAGCCCAAAATATTAAAAAACTAAAAAAATTTAAACTTCTTTTCATAAAATGACCTTTTTTGAAATAAATTACGGGTTTAATGCTAAAGAAATGTACATTACTTAGAAAGTATAAGTTATTACCTTTAATTTGGTATTAATATTTTATTATGATCTGCATTTGAGGCTTAAGAATTCAGTGATAATAAAAAATTTAAATTCATTTACAAGCAAGTAACAATCTTACATCTACTGTAGTTTATTCACATAAGGTGTCGTCTTATCCGGCAAAGCAGAAAGGAGAATTCTAGTTAGTGAGGGTTATAATCCCTACGCAGAAAGGTGTTCTCTGAAAAAGTGTTCAGTCCCCTTTCTTTCGCAACACAGAAAAGAGAATTCTACTTAGTGAGGGTTATAATCCCTAAGTGCGGCCGAAGGCCGCCTACGTTTTTTTTAAAATACTCTGTATGGTACGGCTGAAGACATCATGTTGTATATCAAATGAAAGCTTGTTTTATATCCTATTGGATTATGAAATGTTTGAATATGTTTAATAAGGCAATTTTTAAATAGTCATGTGATCGTTTAAAATTTTTTGCAACTTTTAGTTAAATTGAATTTTAGCTAAAACTTTATAAGCTGTATATAACATTTGTAAATCGTATTAAAGGCATTCATAATTCCTATTGAATGACATCAAAAATTTTGAAATCAATGCTTTTGTTTTCAAGATATTTGGGTTTAAAAAAAATTGTGAATTTAATCTCTGTAGTTTTTGTTTCCCATCAAACGAAAAATATATTGGGCCGTATGAATAAAAACTGAGCAATTGCTTTTTCTTAAAATTGCATACCTGTTACTTCACTTTTGTTTGAATAAATCGAGTAAAAGGTCTGAAATATTAAGAAAAAGCAATTGCTTATTTTTATTCATACGGCCCATTGTTATATTTGCTTCAAAAACCTCTATCGACGTCCTTGTTCGAAATTTGTCGACCCGGTTATCGTAATCGTGCCCCAAAAAATTTTTCACTTTTATTTATTGTGAAAAAAATTGAGCTTTCTTCAATACATACATAGTCTATGTTTAGAAATGCATCAAGCCAAAGCTTCAGTCAATTCTTTTTATAGACTATAATTGATGGAAGGGCCTTATTTGCGCAACTAAGCTCCAATTCGGCATTTAACCATGGTTGCGCATATTGGACATTCCCATCAACTATATGTAGTTTATAAATAAAAGAGACGCATACTTTAGCTGGATGCATTTCGAAACACAGTCGTACGTGTATTCTTACAGCTGTTGGATTTTTCTTTCGAAAGAATATAAAAAATATAGTTAACGTGCAGCAGAAAATTTCAAGACTATGAACTAAAAATGGGCATGGTAGTACGGATGGCTCATTTAATAAAAAGTGTAGCGAGCAATTTGTCTCAATATACATACATATGTATGCATCTTGTAAAGTTAACCTATCTTTAGATCGTGCTAAGGATACACGAACGAATGAAGTTGTCGCCTTAAAAAAGGTTCGAATGGACCAAGAAAAAGATGGCTTACCAGTTAGCGGCTTGCGGGAAATAATGATTCTAAAGGCATGTAAGCACGAAAACATAGTGAACCTCAGGGATGTTGTAGTAGGCAAAAGCTTAGAAAGGTAAATATGAAATATTTGCATAGCTGTTCGGGGCTATCACAGAATCCATCTTAGTCCGATTTTCTTGAAATCTACGAAAAAACGATTTCTGAATAAGAATTGCTGAGAACGCCTGCATTCATAGTATATGATACGTTCCAACTAGGATCGATTCAGTGATAGAACTAAGCTTCAGAATCCACCTTAGTCCGATTTTCTTGAAATCTACGAAAAAACGATTTCTAAATAAGAATTGCTGAGAACGCCTGCATTCATAGTATTTGATACGTTCCAACTAGGATGGATTCAGTGATAGAACTAATTATATACGCATTACAGGGCGGGCCAAATAAGACCTACCATCCATAGTTCATAGCGTCACTAGACACGAATAAAGGCGCGAGTTCAAAAACTAAACGCGAAAAAAGACGCCTAAAAAACTTCAACGAAGAAAGACTCTTAACATAGTTACGGCGAAGGAAGACGCGTTAAAATATTTGATGGCCCTTGAACTTATTTTCGCGGTCGACAATCACCCTCATTGCGAGAGACGTGTCGAATGCAAGTAGTTTTTCGAGAGTCGAATCGTATAGAAAATTTCACGTCATTGCCTAAAATTTCCACTCGACTAGTGTATTAAAACGCAAATACTTGGCAGCACTGCATAGTTTTCGACGATTTTCGTCGTTTACTTATTTCAGCACGACAGTAGACAATGCCAATGTTGTCGATTTGTACAATTTAGCCTAATTTACGACTTACGCAATGAGGCTGTATATTTACAGGTGTAACAGAGGTGTAAAAGAGTTTTAAGGGAATGATGATGAAGTGACAGTCCTTGGCTAGGTATAAATCTATGTTTGCGCGTCTTTCTTCGCCGAAGTTTTCCTTAAGCGTCTTTTTTCGTAAGATTTGTTTACGCTTTTTTTTCGTCGTCAGAACAATACCGCGCTTTTATTCGCGTGTAGTGACGATAGGTCATTAGTTTGCCTAGCAGTGCACACAGTCGCTCCATCTGCGGTTGGCCGCAAAAAGTTATCAATCATTGTTCTGTAAGAAGCCCCAGAAATGGTTTCACCGCACCAAACAGTGCATCTGGATGGGTGTTGTTGTTGTTTTTGTAGCAGCATACAAATTCCCCAAAGAGTTTTTGGGGAGTGTTGCTGGAGTGACAGTCCTTGGCCAAATATAAATCTGGGTCGTTCCGGTTACGTAGATCCGACTGTCGTGGGAACGCTGGATGGGTGCAACTGGTGCTGGTGTGTTGCCCTTGGAATTTCTGAGCCCCACAATCTACAGATTTGCTTGGAACGTCAAAACATTACCTAAAGAATCAATTTGTGTGGCTAATTGTGTAAAACGAATAGCGTGTTGTAGTCATTTTTGGTGGTCTTGCTGTAAGTATCCATTATGATTTTTCAGGAGATTAACTATAACATGCAGAAAGAAAATAACAATAATATTAAAAAATAAATGAGTTATACGTGTTTAGCATTGGCAGGTCTTATTTGGCCCACCCTGTATGTATGTATATATGTACATATATTAATTGAGGCCTCTATAGTATCTTCCTTGTAATGGAATATTGTGAGCAAGATTTAGCATCACTACTAGACAATATGGCCCAACCTTTCTCTGAATCTGAGGTAAAATGCATTATTCTACAAGTTTTGCACGCATTGGAATATATGCATTCACGTTACATAATCCATCGCGATTTGAAGGTGTCCAACTTACTAATGACTGACAAAGGTTGCGTGAAAATAGGTATATGAATTGTGGGCAATATAAGATTGTAAACTAATATTTACGTAAAACTTGAAACAGCTGACTTCGGTCTTGCTCGGCTTTTTGGTGAACCAGCTACTACTATGACTCCTCAGGTCGTAACATTGTGGTATCGTTCACCCGAGTTGCTATTGGGATCGCCAACCCAAACAACGGCAGTGGATATGTGGGCAGTCGGATGTATTTTAGGGGAACTGCTCTCCCATAAACCTCTTCTACCTGGCAACACAGAGCTTGCCCAATTGGATTTAATTATTGATTTGCTTGGCACACCTTCGGAGAATATTTGGCCTGAATTTTCTAAAATGCCTGCTTTGGAGAACTTTACATTGAAGCAACAACCTTACAACAATTTGAAACCAAAATTTCAATACTTGACTGCGGCCGGTCTACGGTTGCTAAATTTCCTTTTCATGTATGATCCAAAGAAGCGAGCCACGGCCGAAGAATGCTTGCAGAGCAGTTATTTCAAGGAGCCGCCCTTGCGTAAGTTCAACATTATTAGTTAATTAATGACTTTTATGAAGATTAAAATAATTGCAGCATGTGACCCAAAATTAATGCCCACATTTCCTCAACATCGTAATCTCACGAATTCCAAACACACTTCTCTTCATCAAGCTGCTCCCGAATTGCCATCAATATCGGCTATACTTGGTAGTATATTAAAGAAACGCCGCGTTGAATAATTAATATTTATTAAATTGTAATGGCCATTGAAATAAGAACAGAATATAAGTCCAATGTCTTTGGGAGTATATTTATAAATATGGGCGATCCATTGGTGTATCTTTGGCCCGTTTATCACGCGACCGGAGGAACCACCTATGCTTGGTTGTATGAGTCAGTTGCATGAGCTCTTGTCGCGCCACTTCAGGATTTTTGTTTTTAAATGCATTCATTGCAGTACGCAGCGCCGTTTCCTTGATCAGTCCTCCGTTTTGGGCGTCCACCGCCTTTGGTATAGCTTTAGAAAATTCATATGGAAATGGTTTGTCTGGATGCCATGCGACTACAACAGCACCATTGTTCGTTATTGCTACTTTTTCCACTAAACTTTGTCCGCCTACAGCATTATTTTGTGCGGTTCGCTGGTACACTCGTGTGGAAAAAAGGCGCACAAAACGCATAGCCATTGATTCTTTTTTTTATATTTAACGTTGTTACCGTCGCCTGTACAAGTCTGGTTTTTGCATGATTTGATTATGCAGTAGAACTGGAAAACTATCGATGACACTATCGATAGTATCGATGGTTTTTGACTATCGAGGACATCGAAGGTTTTGTAAGCACTATCGATAGTTTTCACTCATGTACGAAAGACACAAGATCACGCGCGAACGAAAGAAAGAAAAAAGTAATTTTCTAGCTGTCGAAATCTCGACGCCATTTGTGTTGTAAGAAGTTAACAACGAAAAGAAGAAGAGAACCGCGTAATTGTTGAACGCATGAATAATCATCTTTATTATACAAATTCTTCTATAAATCATGTAGTTGTGTTAAATTATTCTTTACCTTATGTGTAACACGTTGTTACAAGCGAAATGAAGAAAATTCCACGACCATCGATAGTTTTCCAGCTCATAGATATGCAGTCTCAATGGCCCGTAGTCATAGTCAAAATAAAGTCGACTTTAAAGTTAGTTGCAGCTTTTTGACATAATTTTCAATGGGATATCTGTCAAAAAAGCTGCAACTAACTTTAAAGTCGACTTTATTTTGACTATGACTACGGGCCAATGGCTTTGTTTCTTTTCTTTTCTAGCAGATAGTTATCAGGAAGAAGAAGAATGAGAAAATTGAAATAATTACGCTCACAGAGAGCCAAATAATGAAAAAGTAAAGAAACGCAAAACTAGCAAGTAATCAGCTGATCGGTGTATTTGACTATTGAACATATTTGGCGCGAATTTTTGTTTATCCATTTTGACAGCTGCTAGTTTCTGCTAGTAAAAATTTTACTAGCAGAAATTAGCAGGAGAGCCAAAAAAAGAAGAGCGTAAGAACGAGAGAGAGATGCTAGTTTCTGCTAGTTTTTTGGATCATTGTAGCAAGCATACTTTTAACGTGCGTTCTGTCAAACCAACGCCAACGCCAAAGCCAAGGTGAAATTTCTATAGGCCCGTCCACATACAACTTTGGCGTTGCGTCGGCGCTGGCGTCGCTTTGACAGCAGCGCGAGTAACGCCCGCGCTGGCTACAATGAACGCTTAGCAGAGAATACTTTGGTCACTAAATTAACATACTAGCGGCACCAAAAACCAAAATTTTACATCAATAATTGCTTTAAAAAATATATTTCTTGCCCGCATTTGATTAAAAATGAAAATTGAATCACATAATTTTGATTATTTGGAACAGCTGACGAATGACGCGCGCGAAAAGTTGAGAGTTGGTCATCTTTCTGCGTTGTGTTGGCGTTGGCGTTGCCCAACTTTGGTTATGTGGAGACTTTCATATAAATGCATGTATTCATAGTCAGCTGTCGAAGCGACGCCAACGCCAACGCAACGCCAAAGTTGTATGTAAACGGGCCTTATGTGGACCGGCCTTTAATGTGTTTTCACTTCGTTCGAAAATGGCAAATGGCAACGCTGATACATACGTTCTCTGGTGCAACCTTGTCGAACAAAGATTAGGAAACATATCTTGCTGAACTTAATTGCTGAATACTGCTGAATCATACAAAATTCAAAAAGGCTTCAGCGGCTTGTGTCAACGTCGATTTTTCAGAATTTGTGATTGCATTGTTTAGTGACTTCTTAATTATTGTACTAGTAGAAAGAAAACAAGTTAATTTTTGATAAAGTTCAAAACAGCATTGCGACAATAAATAAATTATTTGGTAGACATAGAACGAAGGGGCAAAATTAAAGTCCTGAAAATCAAATGGATCCTTTTACGCAGGTAGGAAAAGTTCGTAGATCTTAGATTAGCTAAGGTAGAATTTCGTAGTAGGTTTATGTGCGTTTTTCAGTAACTCGGCTTTCATTTGCGTAAGAAACAGCTAAAATCCGGAAAAACCTGGGTGTAGTTGTACTTTAAAGGTCATTTTCAAGCGCATCTATACATTCCACAAAATTATACATGTATATATACTTATGCATTTCAGCGAATGTTAGATAAAGCTGAGCAGCGAAGTCGTGCATTGGGCATTAGTAACGCAGGCAAATATCCGCTTGCTGAATTTACCGAAAGTATTAATGCCAGTAACCCGATCGATGCTATAGCAACAGGAAAGGAGCAACAGTCTTCGCACCTTCAGCATGCTGGTGCAAGGCAACAGCATGGTACTCAGTCTCCTAAGTCGGCCCCAGCGCAAGCGTCGACAACGGCAGGAATCACCAATAATATAGAAAATTGTACAGGCGTCAGTAATAGGCTGCAAGTCGTCGAAAAACCTGCGGTAGATTTAGTGAGTACGTCGACCAATGCCAAAAGAGTTCATCGTCAATTCACAGCAGTTGATAAGGAAAATATGGATTTGGGAATTGAAATTAACATTATGACGGATAAAGACGTGGAAGTAAGTTAAAATGGATCAGATAAATGGTGTGTTAAACGTAAGTAAAATTTATTTGTGGTGAATATCTCTAGGTGCAGGTTCAGGTTGAAGAACAAGAAATAGTTAAGGATGGCCCCGATACCAGTTCAGAGCATTCTTTGGCCAAAATACGGGATACATCACGTAGTCGATTGCAACGCCTCGGAGCTCTATATGCGAATCCAAACGATCTCTCATCTCCAATACATCGTACTGAGGGTAATTTCTGTGCGGACTCACCTGCTGAAGAAACTGTGGAAAATAGTATTAAACGTGTCAAACAACGATACGGAAAATTAGCCGAACTTGCGAGTTCTATAAATGAATGGGAGGACGACATTTCTCACCACGATCCACATCCGATCAGTATTATGGCACCTCCCAAACCAGATTTGCCTAGTAGAAAAATTTCGGATGTGCCCCCGCCTAAGCCTGCACTGCCAAGCAGGAGCTCGGTGGTTGAAGCACTTCA